CTATATTTCAAAATGTTAATGGTAGTAATAATGGGTGGTATAATTATGGGTAATTTTGGTTTTCTTGCATACAGTTGTCTGGGTAAGATCTGATGGGTAGTTCTGCACCTTTCCTTTGGAATAAAGTATATGGACTTGAAAAGATATTCTTGAATTTCAAGCCCTCTTTTTTTTTTTTTTCCTTTCAAGTTTAGGCTATATAATCGAAGTTGCTTTTAAAAGTCTGATATTTGGATGAGTGGATCAATATTCTAATCAGCGGTTTCTTTTTCATGGTAATGTTTTCAGCTTTAGCATAGCCTACTTTTAGAGCTGTTGTTTAATTTAACTTGATTAGTTAGAGAGCAGCGTGCTAGTGAGGCCACAGTCATGGGTTCATGAGGGCCATTTAGTTTTCCTGTGTTCCTACCCATAGAGGAGCCCTAGTGGCGCAGTGGTTAAAGTGCTCAGCTGCTAACTGAAAGGTCAGTGGTTTCAACCCACCAGCTGCTCTGTGGGAGAACAATGTGGCAGTCTGCTTCCGTAAAGATTACTGCCTTGGAAACCCTATGGGGCAGTTCTACTGTGTCCTATAGAGTCACTATGAGTCAGAATCGACTCGATGGCAACAGATTTTGGTATACTGATAGATCTTTAAATCTGGCTGGACATATTAGAAATGTCTTGCTTGCCTTCTGAATATCTAACTTTGTAGAAATGAACAGTCTAGGTTATAAGGGGGGAACTAAAAGGGTAAATCAGTATAAATCCGCAACCAGAAAAACTGCTTAAAAACCATGGATTACTGAGCATTAAATGGACTCTTTGCTTTATCTTTATATAAAAATAGCCTTTTTTGGTCCTCTAAGGTTGAGAAGGGAGAGTGTGGACATGTTATGAGGTTGTTAATCAATGTCATAAAACAAGATGTGTACTGACTGTTTAACGAGAAACTATTTGTTCTGTAAACCTTCACCTAAAGTACAATAAAAAAAAATTTTAAAAAGCCTTTCTTTTCATTTTAAAATAGTCTGATCTAAATATCTGATAGTGATTAAGAAAATTATGTTAATATTGAGAATATTATGAGAATAATATCATGAATAATATTGAGAGAATATTCTGGGGCTTTAAAAATGTCCGTTTTGAAGGTTATAAAATAACATGAGAAATTTTTGTGGAATAATACATTTAAAAATGCAAAATGATACTATGATAACTGTAGAAATGTGACTTCATTTTCCAAATTTTCTGTATGTAATTGTAGTTCTTTTTTATTGCAGTGTATAACAAAACATTTTTTAAAATTTAGTTAAGAATTTTTGAAACAGTGAGTTTTTTTATTTTTAATTCTACCCTGAGAAGAAGGCTAGAAGGGGGACCAATTATAGATCGGGGATCCAAGATAGAAACCACTTAGTGAAGATTTAGGGATGTTGAGGGGGATTATTTTAGATTCCCTGAATAGCCCTGTAGCTTCCACATGACCTAATACCTAAATATTTTTATTAATAAACTAAAATCTATACTAAGGAAAGGGAGAAAAGAATTTGGATAAACCCCTTTTTTTTCAGATAAGCATCTGAAGTTATAGAAATGTCCAACACTTTAAAAAATGTCTTTTAACTACATTTCAAAGACTTAATTTAAGAAGTGCCACGATATTCTACGGCTTTTCAGAGTGGAACTTCAACTTGTTTCCTTCCTGTCCCTGAGTTCCCTCCTACATTATAGTGGTGATAGAGAGTTAACTCATGAATTTTTCTAGGTGTGACCAAATAATAGTAAATGCTCTCTTAATGATATGATCAGGACTGGGAGTTATTTAAAAAATGTCAATAAATATCTCAACATTTTTATCCTTAATTTAAAGCAAAAATAAAAAAGTGTATTAATTTGCCAATCTTTTGTGTAGGGCCTCACCCCATACTGTTTGCCTTATAAAAAACATAATATATCACCTAAGACTTCCAGTTTTCTCTAAAGCAGAGCAAGAACTTACTTGTTGCCATCGAGTTGATTCTGACTAATGGCGACCCCGTGTGCTGCAGAGTAGAACTGACCTCCATAGAGTTGCCTTGGTTGTAATATTTACGGAGCAGATTGACAGGCCTTTCTTCCATGGCGCCACTAGTTGAGTTCGAACCACTAACCTCTTGTTTAGTAGAGAAGTGCAAACCCTTTGTGTTACCCAGGGGCCTGAACAAGAACTTAGACTCGAGCAATGTAATCTGAATTGAGAGTTCCAGAATTTTGGAGATTCTTTTCCTAGTTATTTATAATATTTTCTCCTATATCTGGTTCTGAGTGGAAAAATCAAAATCCCATTCTCACACAAAACTGTAAGGATCAGTTCAGTTCAGTTCTGTTCCACGTCTTTTCTGACACCAGCTGCACATGCAGCGCTTTTTCCTCTGACCCTAACCACTGGAGCTAGGTCAGACCTCACAAGTTACAGGACACAGTCATTCAGACTAAGCTGGCCCGAGACTTCAGATGCCAGCCACAAGCTTGGGAGACCCATGACACCCTCACTTCTGACCTGCTGGCTGCATATTTGGGGTTTCCCACTATACCTCAGGATGCCAGCCATAGGCTTGGGAGTCCCCAGGGCCCCCCTCACTATTGACTTGCTGATTCCCACAACTCCCTTGAGTTCAGTAACCACTCACACAAGTCATGGAAAGCTCTTTGCGTACGGTTGGTTACAGCTTTATTACAGCCAAAAAGATACAAATGAAGAGAGGCATAGGACAAGGTCTGGGAAGGTTCCCAGCATGGAGCTTCCTTGTCCCAAAAAGTGATTTACCAACCTCCCCCCCACCCCATGTGCATGTCTTTCACCAACCAGGAAGACCATGGAGCTTTTTTTTTTTTTTTTTGCTTTAGATGAAGGTTTACAGAGGAAATTAATTTCTCATTAAATGATTAATATACCTATTGTTTTGTGACATTGATTGCCAACCCCATGACGTGTCAACACTCCCCCCTTCCCTACCCTATGTTCCCCACTGCCAGCTTTCCTGTCCCCTCCTGCCTGCTCATCCCTGCCCCTGGGATGGTGTGCCCGCTTAGTCTCATTTTGTTTTATGGTCCTGTCTAATCTTTGGCTGAAGGGTGAGCCTCAGGAGTGACTTCAGTACTGAGTTAAAAGGGTGTCCAGGGGCCATACTCTCAGGATTTCTCCAGTCTCTGTCAGACCAGTAAGTCTGGTCTTTTTTTGTGAGTTAGAACTTTGTTCTACATTTTTCTCCTGCTCTGCCCGGCACCCTCTGTTGTGATCCCTGTCAGAGCAGTTGGTGGCGGTAGCTGGGCACCCTCTAGTTGTGCTGGACTCAGTCTGGTAGACCATGGAGCTTTCTTGTCCAGAGCTCTTATTAAAGGTCTCATTACATATTTCAAACACTAACCTCTCTCCTCTGAAGTCAGTCACTATCACGAGGTGATCATGAGGTTGATAACACGAGGTAGGTCTTTCTGGCCTGGCCAGCCCCCACCTAAGACTCACCTCATTAGCATAACTTGTTAGGTTAGATGTGATCTGGAGCCCTTATCAAAGACAGTTATGATTACTGGGGAAATTCCAAGGTTTTAGAGCTTATCTCTCGGGAACCAAGGACAAAGACCAAATTTTTAGGGTAAAGTTAATGTAAATCCTACAGATTCTATAGCAATTTTTTTAGTCTTTCTCAAGCCCTCCACTTACTTTTCATAGAAACAATAACTCTTTCCTTTTGTGTTTAGATTTTATCAGTTGATAAATTTTTCCCAACATTTTATTATGAAAATTTTCAAGTAAACAAAAACATAGTAAGACAAATGTAGTGAACAGTTTTTATATTATTTAATTGAATTAACCCATTGCCATCAAGTCTGTTGCGACTCATAGCAACTCTATAGGGCAGAATAGAACTGCCCCATAGGGTTTCCAAGGAGCAGCTGGTGGATTTGAACTGCTGACGTTTTGGTTAGCAGCCATAGCTCTCAACTATACCAATTGAATTAGGTAATTATAATACCACATACAACTGGCATATAACAGTTTGGGAAACAAGCACAACTGACTCTTGGTAAGTATATATATATAATTAGCAGGAAGTTAGTATTTTAACATGCATAATGGAAAGTGTTTGTTAATTCAGTGTTGTTGCTATTAGCTGCCATTGAGTTAACCCCCAACTCATGGCGAACCCACACACAACAGAATGAAATGCTGCCCAGTCCTGTGCCATCCCCATGATTGGTTGCAGATCAGACTTTTGTGATTCATAGGGTTTTCACTGGCTGATTTTCAGATGTAGATCAACAGACCTTTCTTCCTACTCTGCCTTAATCTGGAAGCTCTGCTGAAACCTGTTTAGCATCATAGCAACATGCAAGCCTCCACCTGTCTTGTCAGCAGACAGGTGGTGGCTGCACGTGGTGTGCACTGGTTGGGAATCAAAGCCAGGTTTCTTGCGTGGGAGGCGAGAATTCTACCACTGAATCATGACTGCCCTCTGTTAATTCATCAAACAGAGCATATTGTAAGGCAGGGACCCTGAATCTTTTTGCCTTCTGAAAAACTACTGAAAATATGTGACCAAATTCTAAAGAAATGAAGATTTTTAATAGTAAAATAGGTTATTGTAAGACATGATATTAATAAATAAAAAAACAAAGCATAATTTGGGTAGAAAATCAGTTGGAGTTGTTAAGTATTTGATATTGTGATGTTATTGAACTGAGATAGCTGGATTTGGAATTAGTGTCTACTAAAGTGATAGTTTAAGGCCTGATGGGTACCATGTTGTTATTGGATGCCATCAAGTCAATTCCAATTCACAGTGACCCCGGGTGATAGAGTAGAACTGCCCTATACGATTTTCTAGGCTGTAATCCTTTACAGGAGCAGATCACCTGGGAAGGTTCAAACCATCAACTTTTTGATTAGCAGCTGAATGCTTAAACCATTGTGCCACCAGGACTCCTTGATGTGGGTACTATCAATATTTACTTTTTTTATTTTTGTTTTCTTGTAGGTTATTGGTCTGTTGGATGTATTTACACCTGCAAGGTCTCTGGAGGAATTCAATGATGTGTGAGTGAATTTTTTTGTGTTTGCCTTCCTCTGAGAGAGGATGAGGATTAGTGGTCCATTTCTATTCCTACACCATTTAGCAGTATACAGACTTCAAAAGAGTCTTTATGCCTATCACCCCACTCTTATGGTGAAGGGGATGGAGTGTAGATACAGAGGATGTATATTACAAATGGTACATGTTAGTATTTCCATCATTTCAGGCAGCCATGCCCCACTGAAGAGTCATGGTGAGTCCTTAAAAGAGTTCCATGGAGAAAAAAATATGGGGAGTTGACTGATTTTTCTGCTCAAATTACCTGTCTTAGCTTTTAAAGTTTGTCTTCAAAAAATGTAACTGAGCCCTAGTTTCATATAGGCTCTTTCCTCTCTTTTATCTCGCGCACATGTGGGAGATGGTACTAAAACTACATGTTGATGATCCTTGAACTATTAGATTCCTGTTCATGGACAAGGGATGGGCCCCACCTGTGGAGAAAGGCTGATGAATAGTGATATTCTCCCAGTTTTGTGGCCATCTCTATTTTAGCCTGGATTCTCCTGGGAAAGCAGAGTCTGAGAGTCAGGGACCAGTAGTGAGAGACTAGGGAAAATGAAACAGGGAAGGAGGGAAAGCTACTACAAGGATTTATCATTGAGTTGGTCACCCCTGTGGGCAGCTGCGGTCAAAACTGTTGAGATCTTCTAAGATGCTGTGCAGAACATACCTCAGATAATGAGGAGCATTTATCCACTGGCTCCTGATTCCATTGACAAAGGTTGTCCCATGGGGCATTAATGCACTCACGTGATCAAGCTACACACGTGTGAGTGTAAGACAGGTTCCAACAGGCATTCCTGGGTATGTATGGACTGTCTACTGTAGCTTTTCCAGTAATACCTGGATTAGCACCCCTATGCCCCCATTCACAGGCACACCACACACACTTTATATATAGAGTTATACATTTGGTCCTGTTGAAATTTTGGCATTCCTAACTGGCAAGAGTGACTATTGTAAAAGTCGAAACAATTTTAGATCAGGTGGCCTACTTTTCCTTAACCTGCATTCCCCATTGTCCCTAATGCTGATCCTGGGCTCAGTTTTTCCCGCCCATATTCTGGGCTGAGTGCAAACATCATTTGCTCCTTTCCCACAGAACAAGCAGGGGGATATATTTGAGCTTGTATGCGCTAAGGTAAGAGAGGAAGAAATAAATGAAAAAGAAATATAGAAGATAAAATAGAGAAGGAGGAAACAGCAAAAAAAAAAAAAAAAAAAAAATTTTTTTTTTTCTACCATTTGAACTTAGCTGGAACATGGTATGATTAAGAGTAGATGAAAGAGAATCTGGCCCAAGTACAAGAACTCCCCACCCACATTAGCCTTGTTCTTGCTGATGAAAGTTTAAGAAACAAGCAAAGGGAAAAATAAGCAATAACTAAGAACAGTTGTGCTTCCTGCAGCCCTGCTTGGCACCAGAATGTGGAGGCTTCCAAAGATTACTGGATGCCACCCAGAGGCATATGTGTTACAAGTTGTTGAGCCCTGCTGTAGGCTGTGCTTGGAAAAGAGAAAATTGCAGAATGATGATGTTTTGATATTCTGCCTAAATGTGGAAGAAATGCTGAAGTAATGTGTTTGGAAAACATCTGAATCAGGCCTGAGCTGTATCCCAAAATTTTAGGTATAATGAAGATAGATTTATATAACAAGGAAATTGATGATTTGCTGACCTGGGCAATGCTGTAATTTGGCTTACTTGGGCATTATGGGACTGGGTTATAAACCTATTCTGCTTGTGTGAAAAGACCTTAATTAAGACCAGTCTCTGTTTAAAGGGCTAAGTTTTATTGATTGTAGTACCTTTGGCTCTTTCGTCCATATGAAGGCCCACCATCTACAAGTCTACCCACTAAAGTTGCATTTATTTCTTCATTCATTTAACAGAACTCATGACTGCCAAACAGGAATCTGTTCTTTCTACTTAACTCTCTAGCTAGGTTCTGACTATTTTTTTAAACAAGAATTGAGTTCACCTCTTAGGAGCAAATCTCTGTACTATTTGTTGAATGCTTACTGAGTGCAGAACACCAAGCAGAATGTTGGAACAGTCTCAAAATAATCAGAAACATTAGTCTTTCCCGTTGAGGAAATCAGTCTGGTTGAGAAAAACAAATTCGAAACACTTATGTAACCAGGTTACAATTGGCTCTATGACCTTGGATAAGTCACTTTACTTCTCCAGGCCCCAGCTGACTTCCCAGTAAAATGATGAGAACTGGAGTGGTTGACTTCTAAAGTGTTTTCAATCCCAGAGACTCTTTGAAAATAGAATGATGAGCCTAAGTTTGCCTTTAGGAAGATATTTCATCGTTTACTTTTTTTGAGATGTTTACATCACTGAAAAAATTAGCTCTTGTCCAGGACTATGGGTATTTAAGTGTTTTCCAGAGCCATTCAGAATTTGCTTTAGAGACCAAAACATCTTCACCTACAATTGCAGGGTTTGCAAACTCAAATACCTTCAGGCCAGACAAGTAAATAACATAGATGAGGCTGAGTGGGAGTGGTGGGGTCTGTGGTCAAACAGAATACCTGCACCTCCTGAAAGCATTCAGATTCACATTAAAACAAACAAAACCCCACTGTTTTGGAAAACCAAAAAGGCCGCAGGCTAGAATTGTTCTGCAAGTTGTCAGGTTTAGAGCAGGCTGTAATTTTGAACCTGATTTTTTCTGTGCTAATTAACAAAGTCTCCATTTTTCAGACTTAGAGTTGACTTTCAATCACATGTTACATGTATTTGTGCCTTTATTGTTCAGTTAGCGTTTGCGTTTATCATTTAATTCAAATTTTTTACGGAGTTTCTAATTTCTAGGTTAGCAGGTGTTCTATATACTTGGGAATAGAATAAACAAGAATATCCTTTGAGAATGTAGCAATAGATAGTGAGTTTTGATCACAGGAACAATGTGCAGTTACTGAATCTAACGGAGACAATTTGGAAATGTGAAGTTAAAAGACGAGTATACGAGAAAGTTGCTCTTGACTGCCATATGATGGGTCTTAAAAAAAAAAAAAAAAAAAAAAAAACCATTG